GTTTATGTGTAGGGAACTCTCGTGGCTCGACCACTGGCCGGCGGCCGGCGAGCCCTCGCAAACCGCTCCCCAACCCGAGTTGGATGCGTCTGTCGAGATAACTTTCCGGCGAGAAAAGGTTCCCATGGTAACGCCCCTCTGAAACCACTCGCTTACTGCCCATGGCTGCAGTGCAGTGATACATGTCTGAGTAATCTTGATCATCTGGCGGCCCGTCGTCCACTCGTGGTGGGATACGCGGCTCTTTAACCAGAGTTGATGAGCAGAAGCATGCATGAGCAGAAGACCCAGCTGTAGCACAGCGGAGGCTGAAGCCATATGACCCAGCATCCTCTGAAGCGATTTCAGGGATGTATGGGTACCCATCTGAAACGAGGCGGCTAGGCGCTGAACACGGCGCGCGCGCTGTGTGGATAAGCGAGCCGTCATAGTGATAGAGTTCAAATCTATTCCAAGGAACGAAATAGTTTGACTGGGCTGGAGAGAGCTCTTTGTCCAGTTGACAGAGAGTCCCAGCGCTTCCAGATGGTTGAGGAGAACTGTGCGGTGCGACAGCAGCTCCGTCTGGGAATCTGCTAGAATCAGCCAGTCGTCCAGATAATTCAGTATGCGCAGCCCCTGACTTCGCAGGGGGGCGAGCGCTGTATCCATGCACTTCGTGAACGTACGGGGTGCTAAGGATAGGCCGAACGGGAGAACGGCATACTGGTAAACTTGGCCCTCGAAGGCGAAACGTAGGAATGGCCTGTGATGAGGGTTTATCTGGATCTGAAAATAGGCGTCTTTCAGGTCTAGAGAGATGAACCAGTCCCCCTGGCGGACGTGCGCAAGGAGTTTCCTGACTGTGAGCATTTTGAACGGTCTCTTCATGAGCGCTTTGTTCAAAGCCCTGAGATCTAAGATCGGCCTGAGGCCGCCGTCTTTCTTGGGAACCAGAAAATAACGGCCGTAAAACCCCGACTCGGTCATAGATGGCGGGACTCTCTCTATAGCGCCCTTCTGCAGTAGCTTGGCTATTTCTAAGCGAAGCGTGTTCATAGCAGCCGGGCTGACAGTGGATTCGAGCCGCACGCGCGAGCGTGGCGGGCGGCGACGAAACTGTAATCGATACCCATTCTTTATTATGCTTAAAACCCACGGGGAGATGCCGGGGATGGCTTCCCACGCTTCGTAGCATGCGGCTAGTGGTTGAATGGCGATTTCGCCCTGATTGCTGCACATAGCGGGCTGGACACTGGGTGTGGGCACGCTTATAATGTGGATGGCAACGGGACTTACACTCAGAGAGGAGTTTATGGGCCGTGTGACAGAGCGGGCAGAGGGGGGACACGCGCACGGGCTCGTGGGCGTGCTTATGTTCTCTGCTACTGGAGCGGATAGTGCACGCTCCGTGAGAATGGGCTCTGTGAGAGACCCTGGGCATAAAGTGCTTGTGTGTGTACGTGAGCACATGCTTGTGGGCACATTTTTTACACTTGAGGCTTTTATGCTCTTTTTGTGAACTCTCTGGGTAGCCGTGAAAACGGCTTTTAGTCGCTCGCAAGCGGGCAGGGAAACCGGCTTGTTTGTGGCGGTAAACACTACTGCAGTCAGCGGTGAGACGGGGACTAACAGTGGGCGAAGCTTTGACAGCGGTCCGGCCGCAGCGGGAGAAAGCCGTCTTTTTCTCAGCTGTGCTAGGCAGACTTCTGTTGATCGGGCTTCAGCGCGATCTTGGGTCGAGGCCCCCGGGGAGGAGGCTGTCTGCGGCGGCTGTCTGAGCGAGAGCGAGGGCGGCCGCCCTGTCTACGCTGGGGCTGCTGAGCTTGCTGAGGCGGGCGCTGCTGTGGGGTTCTGGCAGGCGGCTCGTGAGAGCGGCCCGTCGAAGAACTCGAGCGGCGGGGCAGGAACAAGTTCATGGCCTGAGTCGCTTTTTGTACCTCGGAGAAGCGGTCAACGATGCCCGTGACGGCAGATCCGAAGAGCCCGGTGGGAGAAATAGGCGCGTTGAGGAACACGGCGCGTTCTGACTCTCCCATGTCGGTAAGCGTGAGCCATAAGTGTCTCTCGGCGACACAGAGGGCGGCCATGCATCTCCCCAGAGCTTGTGCGGCGGCTTTAGTGGCGCGAAGGGAAAGATCCGTAGCGCTTCTCAGATCCGAAAGGACGGGCGGTTGCCTCCCGCTGCTCGCCATTTCGCACAAGATGTCGCTCTGGAGCACCTGGAGGACAGACATCGAATGCAGCGCTGAAGCGGCCTGACCGGCGGCGGAATAGGCGCGGGCATGGAAGTTAGAGGTCGCTCTGCACGCTTTAGAGGGAAGCGTATGAGAAGACCGCCATCTAGCAGAGGGCGGGCAGAGATGAGCGGCGACCGAGTCCTCGACGGGCGGCATGGCAGTATAACCCTTCTCGGCGGCTCCGTCCACTGAGCGCAGCGAAGCGGACACATCAGAGCGATTACGAGCCGAAAGAGGAGCATTCCAGGATTTCGTGAGCTCGCTGTGAAGCTCAGGCAGGAATGGTGCAGCCTGGCTGCAGGCGGGGGCCGGGCGCCGGTGCAGGAACTTCCCATCCATGCGGTTCGGTGGTTGCTCAGGGGGAGGAGACCACTCGAGACCCAGGCGGCTAACGGCCTGTGAAAGGAGGCGCGTTAGTTCCTCTTCGATGCCGGCGCGGGTCCCCGCAGACTCTCTCGTCGATGAGCCGATCGACGACCAATCCTCGCTGTCCGAAGCGTGCAGCGAACAAGAGTCCTTCTCATCTGCGGTGTCATCGGAGGCGACAGAGCGGCCACTCGGCGGCAACTGTAAGTCCGGCAGGGGCGGAGAGGGAGAGCGGTCGGTGGACGGCGGCGGCGGCCCACATGGATCCGCAGGGGGCTCCGGCGGCCTCTGGGAGCGCCGTTTCTTTTCCCGCGGCGAAGTGAGAGGCGGCGCTGGAGCGGTTTTGACCGCCTGTAGTCGAGCCCGCAGGGTTGACAGCGGCAGGTCCTCGCAGTGGTCGCATCCTCCGTTGGCGAGGGCGAGCTCTGCGTGTTCCACTCCGAGACAGAGAGCGCAGATGGGGTGGCGGTCTCCTTCGTCGAGTGGAGAGCGGCATGAGCCGCAGGAAATACGAGGCATCTTTAAAAAGACGCTCGGCTCTTTTAGGAATATGGAATAGTAAAGGATACGCGTCGGATGGCGCTAGCTTGCTGGGCGGCTGAAGGTGGCAGACGGCCGGCTTCCTCAGACTCCGGAGCTCGCTAGAAGGTGCCCTCTCGACGACGGCGGCTTCTTCCCAGGACAGCGGATGCGTGTAGCTCGCTGAATGAAAAAGAATCAACGAACGAGCTGGGAGAGCGACCTTTATACACTGTAGCCACGCCCCTTTTGGCGGGCTGTGACGCAGTGAGCGAGCGCCGTCCGCTCATTGGCCGCGGACTCAGCGCCGCTCTCCCATAGGTTCGTGCATTCTCTCTGAGCGAACCAATGAGCCGCTAGCTAGCCCGCTCATGGTCTGCCTCAGAAGAGACTGCGTTGACAATGATTACAAAATTATGGAATAATTTTTTGGCTTCAACTTCTCAGCAAAGATGAATCTTTCCCGTAGCGTAAGCTAGCTTACGCAATACGAGAGAACCTCTCGTAAGAGAACTTCTCTTGCCTAAAATGGCACAAAATTTAGGTAAAATTTAGCTAGGATTGTGTCTTTATTACATGCAAGAAAATAAATGATCTGAGAGAAGAAAAAGATATTTGAGAGAAAAAGTTATCACACTGATAGCAAAAAAAGCATTTCATGAGAGAAAAAAATATATTTGAGAGAAGAAGTTAATTTATTTATCAAAGATCATTTATTTTCTTGCATGTAATAAAGACACAATTCTGGCTCCATACCATACAAGTTAAAAAAGTTGCAGTTCTGAATGTAAAGGTTTTATTTTAGGTGTGAACTACATGATCACTAGACAGTTAGATAGAAAGGACAGTTTATTTAATGAATTTGTTACTAATTTTACTACTCTCTCACTGACGTAATCCAACATATCAAACAAATAAACCCACAATACTGTAAAAAAAAGCTAAAACCTAAAACTATTCCTACAGTATATTTTTATAGGCCTATTCTGTTGTAACAAATAGCACTATAAAACGATAAGCCTATAAGGAAATACTATCAGTCCCTTTCTACACATCTGTGCAGTGAAGCTAATCAAACACTTGAGAAAAAAAATAAGTAAAGTGTACAACGTAAATGTATGTTTAATTGGTAACACTTTACAATAAGGTTCATTAGTTAACATGTACAATATGTGAACAATACTTCTTCAGCATTTATTAATCTTAGTTAATATTAATTCCAACATTTACTAATACGTTATTAAAATCAAAGGTTGTATTAGTTAACATTGGTTAATGGACTGTGAACTAACATGAACGCACAATGAACAGCTATTAACTAACATTAACAAAGATTACACTGTAAGCATTGCTCATCGTTAGTTCATGTTAGTTCATGCATTTACTAATGTTAACTAATTAACCATATTGTAAAGTGTTACCGTTTAATTAATGGTGTGTGTGTAGGCGTTCCATAGTAGGCTATAGACTACTGACAAAATAATGAAACCTACACATTTAAACACGCTATGTAAATAGCAGTATTAACAATACGGTGACCAATAAATTGCTAAATCTACAGTAATGTTGGAAGCTGGGGGAGTCATAATTATTAGTTATAACATTACGTATCTTTCAATATAGCTAGGCTACTTTGATTTTTTTTTCTTTTCTTAGCGGAGCCGGGAGGTTCCGCTTTGACTTCCAGAATTCGACTAACGTTAACTGAGAATGTGTTTTTATAATTACGATTGTGGACACAATAAGAAAACTCGCTCTCGCGATTGTTCTGCTTTAATTGATTTAATACCAGTTTTTTAAAAAACATTAACAGACTACTGCTTTATAGTGTCATTGTAGCTCCAAGTCTTCCTGGATCAGCTGACTGCGCCTGCGCAGTACAGTACTGCAGTGCATGACGTTGATAAGAGACAAGTCCGAACAAATATCTCCCTACGTGTAAAAATTATTAGACACAACAGCTTATGGAGGAGCTGGGCTGAATGATTCGACTCATTTACGCAGCGAACATTTTATGTCTGTGACAGGGAAGATTGAAATGCAGTGATTATTTTCGCATATCGTCCTCGTTGCTTTTACCTGTCAGAGTGAAATTATTCATTGGACTGATGATGAAGAGGATGCATGCCGAGGATGAACTGACCAAAGCAGCCGCCACTGGAAACACTTGCCGTGTTCAGTTTTTACTTTATAACAAAGTGAATGTCAACAACGTTAATAAATTCGGAAGAACGCCTATACAGGTAGGCAACGTTTTAAGACATGTCCTAATAATATTAGCCTAATAATATTATATATTTACTATAATAAAGACATCAGACGGACTGGACATACACAATATTATTTCACTACAACAGAAAGGCATTTAAATGTATGCGAAAGGTCAACTTATTTCCTAAAATGAATAGCCTATCACTAGGCTATAGGATTTTGCGTTGGCTAATTCTTTCTCGCAGTTGGTTTAATAGGCTACAGGATTTAATTTTAATTAATATAAGGCCAATTAATTAATTTTCTTATTTATTCATGTAGGCCTATTAAAAATGCCCCGCCTAATAGTTCGTTTTTTTAATATAGCCTAGTTTTAGTTAGTTTTAAGGCAAAAATAGTTTTGCCCTATAGCCTATTTATAATAACAGATAGCCTATTGTCAGTAGGCCTAATGACTTAAAATGTATTGATGTATTTTTGTTTTGTATATGGCTAAAGAATATTAATAGGCCTACCTTAATAGCGTTGTGCAAAGCACTATATAGCCGAACAGCCTATTTCACTTTATATTTTAACATAGAACCAGTAGCCTACCTAGCATGACCTTTTTTTTTTTTTTTTTTTTTTTGTAAACTTGAAGAAAAACCTTTTCTGTTTGATTTGTCTTGATTGTAATATATTTAAGGTTAGCAACTGGATAAGACAACGATATAAAATATTGTTCTTCAAAGAACAAAAAAGTGTCTAGATGTCACATTTTAGTATTCTTAAATCTACTTATCCTACTTGATTTTTTAAAATACTTTTTCCTAAATAAATGATGTTAAAAGAGTGCTGTTTTTAGCCTACCAATACTGCAAGATATCGGGTTGTAAAACTAACCTGGACGTTTGCATTCTGCCATGGATTTCGACCAGTTTTATTAGCTTCTTCAAAATAAATAGCCCCAGCCCCATCACAATTCACCACCCCCTCACAAACTGCAAACATTAAACCATACGTTAAAGCATTTTATTAACAATGTGGTCACGTACAGGCTATAATTTCGTTATTAATTTCTAGTCAGTTCAACTGATGGTGTTGCAGCTCGTTCCATGTTGCAATAGTAGGTGGCTATACAGGAGAATTATTTTTTTTAAGCTGGTGGGGATACATAAATTGGCTACAAAATAAAACGATGTCGGCAAGTTTCTTAAACTTAAAATTAACAGACAGCAAAAATGCAGAAACTGTAAAACCACCGTATTGCTTGTGTCAGGCTTGTTGATAAATTGCTTTTAATCTTTTAACGAAAGATGTTTCATATCACAAGTGCGCATATGGCCATCCTACTCATACGCACTTAACAATATTAAAGGCTAATAAAATCATGCGATAAATATTTAACTATTGCAGCAAAAAAAATAGAATAAACTGCCCATTACTGCACGGTTCCTTAATGATTGTAATAATGTAAAAGTAGAAATTGCAGGCAGCCGACATATTTTTTTTAAATGGAACAGCCAGAGAATCGTTTTTTTTTTTTTTTTTTTTTTTTTTTCTGAAAGCCGAAAACATTTCACGTTTTTCGCAGGTGATGATGATGGGCAACACACCATTGGCTCACCTACTGCTGAAATATGGAGCGGATCCTAATGTGCCTGATCCCGGGACAGGAAGCACTCCTCTGCACGATGCTGCCAGAGCCGGATTCATGGACACTGTGCGACTTTTAATCCTTTTTAACGCTGATCCTAATGCAACAGATCACTGTAATTTACGACCTGTGGATGTGGCACGGCAGGCTGACCATGTGGACGTGGTTGAATTTCTTAGTCGTTTTTAAACGCTAGTTTATTTATTTTCATTTATTTTTATCTTAACATATAGCCTAGGCCTATAGCCAAATTTTCACAAATGACAGGCCTATAAGCCCTATAGGCAATTTCAAAAGTAAAGAAATTAGTTAATGCACTTTAATTGTGATTAATTAGGCTATCCTTCAGTGGATGGTTGAGGTTTAGGCTCAACATTTTAAGTAGCCAATATGTTTTCGTTGAGCGTTTTTTGTTCTTCCTTTTTGAATAGGCAACATAATCTCCGCATTATGTGTGGTATAACTTAACTATAAGTATCCCAAACTTAATTCAGTCTGAAGCATTAACGATAGGCTAATTAGCCTACTAAACTGTAGACGCGGCGTAGCCTATAGGCTACAAATTATTTAGACTAAAATATTTGTTTTTAACTTTCTTTGGCATACAGTAGTAATGAATGATGTGGCTATAAGGAATCAAATCGATTAAATATAACGAAATCAAGTCGTCCGTTTTGAGCTGCATGTGCTTACAATGCAAAAATAACGCGTGATAGCCATAGGCCATACATTTTGGTGATCCTTCGTCATTTCTCTCTCTCTTTTTTTGTAAAGATATTTTCGTTTGTTTTATTATATTTTAATGAATAAATTTAAATAAAACTAGGCCCACTCAACCATGCAAGCTTAAAATCTTCTTTAAAAAAAAAAAAAAAAAAACGAGGCCAAATGCACTATGCAAAAATCAAATGTAAAAAAAAATATAGCCTATATATGAAGCCTTTTAGCTTTTACGAATGTTTTTAAAAGCCATAAATTAAAGCCCAAGTATAAGCCATGGAGCCTTGGACTAGTTTTTCTTTTGTAATATATATATATAATTATTATTATTATTTTTTTTTTTTGCAAATTGAGCTATACTGCCACATCCAAAGAGCACCTATAGTAGTCTTCTGTGTATCTTGTGTTCTATGAAGCTTAAATTCTTTATTTTGTTCTTTATAAAGCATACATTGTTTTACCAATTTTTTTTCAAGTCCAAATAAACATTTAGCTTGTGTTGAAAGGAATGTTTGTTTTTATTGATAATTTCGATTGCAAACATTTTTGCTTTGCCAACATCATTTTTTTCTCCTGGCTTCAAAAAAACCTGTGTGGAATACAGATACTGACACTATGAGTTGTTAGAGAACTAAATGTAGAAAACTAAATAAATAAATAACAAAAAACATGTAATTTTTTTAAAGATGGATTTTGCATACAGAATTACGTTTAAAGTATCAAACATAATTATTTGTGGAATATTAATTTGGGAGTTTATCTCTCTCTCTATTTGTAAAATTATTTCTGCAAACTGATCTAATCTCATGGAAAGAACAGAAAAGTTCAGAAACTACTAAATCAAAGTCAGATTAGGAAGGCCTCCATTTTGAAAACAGAAATATTATTTCTAATATTATTCATATTTCTAAAAACAATGAACATATTTCTGTTTAGATTGCTTGAAGGAAAACAAGTTTTTTTTCTTTTCTGACAAGCAACCAGTTTAACAATTTTTGTTACAAATAGACATCTGTTCTTTACAAATCTCTGGTAAAACAAATGCTCTGCTGACACAAAATGGAGAAGTTTCAGCATTTCTCATTGAAATGTGGCAAACTGAATGGAAAAAACATACATTTATTTTTGGGTATGAGAGAAATGTATTTAGCTATATAAACAACCAAATACACAACTGCTATATTTACTACATTTAAAAGGCACTGAAAAAAAACAAAAAAACATTCAAGACTCAAACAATCTTGTCCATTCCCTTTACTAATGCTTCCATGCATTATGTCTAATTGTAAAAAAAAAAACAAAAAAAAACCAAACAATACTTTATTTTAAAGAGTGGTAACTGCACATTCATATCAGTGTGGCTGACAAAACAACAACAACAAAAAAACAATACTTTATTTTAAAGAGTGGTAACTGCACATTCATATCAGTGTGGCTGACAAAACAACAACAAAAAAACAATACTTTATTTTAAAGAGTGGTAACTGCACATTCATATCAGTGTGGCTGACAAACAAAACCCTTTTATTTTATTTTTTATTTTATTTAGGTTCATATAGCTGTAACAATGACACACTTGTTAGTTTACAGATACATGATTGCATTTGTGGGCACATCTTCATGACTCCTTGATGGCAGAGTACTTTAATGTTTGGGCAACATTACTGAAGACTGTGAAATCGACTGGAAAACAACAGAAAGGAAAACAAATTAGGACACGGAAAGTTTCATACATGTCAGATTTAGATAAAAAAAATCTATTATATAATTACATATATAAAAATGAAATAAAACAGTAATTTACTCAATTTCAAGAGCTTTAAACTTACTTTTTGTGCATTTATTGTGCTCTCCCAGTCCATCTTGCTGATCTGTGGGATTGCTGTGAGCAGGATGCTGCTAGCTTTGTTTGCGTTTTCCTTCATGGTTTTTAGAACATTGTCCACACACACCTAGAATTAAAAAAAAAAAAAAAAAAATTTGGAGCTAAGTTTGGTACATAGAGGTTTATAAAAATATACAGGAAAAACTAAAATAATGGTACATTAACAAAAAGCTATTAATGGACCAGCAAGCCACAGAGGATCATTAAACGATAAGATATGAAGGAGCAATGCATCCGGATCTGAAAATGATCACATTTATTCTTAAAACTATGTTACCTCTACAAACATACAAAATTGTTTAAAAAAATATCCATAAACAGATATGTTTGCCTGTGGCCACTCAGATAATGCAGATAAGGTTGCCAAGAGTCAAGTATAACCTGTCACAAGTTAAAACTGAATCTGGAAGACATTTTATGCTCAAGCAACAAATGGTCTATTGTCTCTAATGCCTGACTTTGTAAGTCATAGTTGTCTAAAGCTACATTGTACATTCAAATTCTACAGGGGACTAGGACAGGATCTATAGTTAACCTACTAAATTAAGACGGCAACAAGAAAAATCCAAGTGATCAAGAAAGAAAACTGAACTGTAGACTGTTTTTGATCACCAATGTTTTCCTTTAGAGGAACTGACTAATTGGCTGGCAGCAAAATATGTATGATTGTCTGTGCATGAGTCAGAGAGAGAATGAGAATACAGGACAGGGACGGAAGGATGTGGTGAAGTGGGGCGTGAAAACTAGAGGTCAGCAGCAGGAACTCGGAAGGAGGACTCTGAGCTGCAAGGGGAAGTAAACACTGCTTTAAAATACAACCTAACCGGTTGTCCGGCTATCGGAAACTATAATATGTAGAGAATTTATTGACTTAAAGAGGAATATCCTATAACAATCCCTCTAAACCAATAGGCTACAAACAACTTTGAATGAACACAATAGCAGCACATTTGCCCTTTATTATGGCCTTTCTTATGGCACTCTAATTAAATTGTAGAGAAGCAGCAGACTAGTATAAAATAAATAAATAAATAAATAAATAAATACAAAACTGTTTCTAGAGTGAGGTTTTGCCACAAACTTAAGAATCAATGAAATACCAGGGTTTGTGTGTAGATATTTATATATATTTATGGTTTTTAATTTACAGCTATTTATTATAAATGTTATAACCCAGGGGCTTTCAAACTGGGATCTGCTGACAGAAAACTTGCAGCATTTCTACAATTAAAAAAATATCTACTTAATTTATATATTGTTCACAAACAATATATAATAAACAGGACAACACCACCAATATAATTGACCTCCTGGATGTTCCGAAAAATATGAATATGGTTAAGCAGGTACACACACACACAAATACACACAGACTCAGACAGAGGCTTCTATCTGCTCACCGCCTCTTCGTGCTCTTTCCAGCAGTCATAATCAGTTGCCATTGCAATACTAGCATAGCACAGCCCAGCCTCCTTGGCAAGAACCACCTCCGGTACTGTGGACATGTTAATGACATCAGCACCCCACTGTCTGAACATTAGGCTCTCTGCCCGGGAGGAGAAACGAGGACCCTCTATGGTCACCATTGTCCCTCGATTATGACACTTCACACCAAGTGCCTGGGCAACCTCCAGGAGAACCTACAAGAGGAGGTAAGAAAAAGGTGAACAGAATAAGATAAGATGAACAATAAGGACAGAGAGCTGGGAAATGTCACTAACCTCTCTTGTCTTGCTGCAGAAAGGTTCAGCCATAGGGATGTGACACACACCTGGAGGGCTGGTGGGCTGCCCGTCATAGAATGTCTGAACACGTTTTGTTGTCCTTGATTTCAAGGTGGTGTGGGACATTTTGGCATGGGATTAAGAAAAGCAAATGAAAAAGAACATGCATACTGATAAGGTGAGTTGTAAGGAACAATAAAGACAGTTTTACACCAGACAAGAAGCAAGTATGATACGGTACACTTGACACAACATTCTGTATATACTCATATCCCCAAGTTCAAGGTAGTTCTAATCACCATACAGGCGAATGTTCACTTCAACAAAAAAATAGTGGCAACAATGAGTTTAAAGTTCGATGCATGACAACACAGTCCAACACCACCAACGGCAGGATTTTAAAGAGGACCTATTATGCTTTTTACATTATGTAATATTAGTCTCAGGTGTCCCCAGAATGTGTCTCAAAACTACCCAAAGATAATTTATTTACACCATGTTGTAACAGTCCATTTTAAATGCGTGTCACTTTTCAATGCAAATGCGCTGCTGCTCCCCACCCCTTTCTAGAAGGGGGCAGAGCCTTTACAGCTCCTGCCTCAGCTACTCTGCCAAAAGCTAAAATAAACATCTGTTTGATTTTGATTATCATCTCTATCGCAGTCACGCTCAGGTGACATGTACTTCATCATCATGAAAGTTTATTATCTGCATGAGTTTTATAGCCATATTCTGAGCACCCACATCTAAAGCACACACACAAAGCTTGATGTCAGTTGATGGGTCCCATGAGTATTACACCAAGTTCTCTTTCACAGGGTATTGTGCTTAAATGTCAAATGCACAGAAGGTTATCTCAAAAGCACACAAAAGTTCACATAAACACAGTCAGTTTGGCCTGTTAACGTAAACAGCAAGTAAATAAATCGCATGTGTATTTTAGATTTGTATATTAAAGTATATGCTGTTAATGAATCAAACAACAAAAGAAATACTCTTGATTGAATACTTTAGTAGCTCTAATACAAATACATTTCTTACTTGAATACTAAATGCTCTGGTGAGGAGATAAACATTGCAGACGGTGTACAGCTCACTCAGGCCGGGGTCTGTCAGCAGCCATCAGGGCCTAAGCATTTGTGACCTCACAAAAGCTACAATCTGCAAATGGCTTATTCTGAGACACTGCTTATGATTTATGGGGATTAAAAAAGTGGGTGGATTTTTATCATTACAGGGTGGTTGTGCACGCACACTGCTGACACACATTTATGTTCAAACACCATGTAAAAGTTAATTTTGCATATTAGGTTCCCTTTGAGCCAAGCAGTGATGCTGGTGTGTGTGTAGTATACTAGAAAACAACATGTTCGAATATTACGCATGTGTGTGTCATTTGCCAGACGTATCCAGTGTGCGGCCACCCTAAAAACCCTTTCACACGCAAGTTATTATATAATAACGTATTATACACAAATATTCTAACTGACCCCCCAGCGTGAGTTTTTCAAGGTGACTGTTATTTAGAACTTGCCACTTTAATGTCATGTGACACAGCACAACCAAATCACAGCGCTGTATGAATGATAATCTGCTTTTATGTAATTTCTCCTTTTTTATTAAAATTATTCACAAATGTATTAGCTATAGCATCAAACACTGCTATCCCGATTGTCAAATATGTGCAAGTGGATGTGTTTTGTTGTTTAAACATCTTTATAACGATCGCGTTGTACTAATGAGCTGTATGCACAATGGGCGGTGCCATTTTAGTTTGTTTTACAGTTCAGAGAATGGGATCTGTTGGATTTACAACGTCAATTCCTCCACTTCTCACGAAATACATGAAATAAGTGGCTGGTGAACAGGAAGAAGAATAGGGTCAAATGTTAAGCTACTTACACAATGTGTATCTGATATGAATAAAACATGTCGTCTAATTATAACTGAAAGGATTATTATTGCTGCTTCCATAGGCATCAGTGTGTATTTTACAAACTCAAAATCATTGTTTTGCTAGTACTTATGTACGTATTTAAATGTCTGAAACCTACAATAAACATTGTGGTTGAAAACACTCAATAGTTGTGATATATGACAGCACTGAGTGCATCCGTCTCTGGCTCAGTTGCAGCCAGCGTGCGAGAGCAAGTTTGAATTTAGCAGTGATGACCGTTCTAATCACACCGGTGTGATCGTACGCATGAAAGGGTTAAGAATGTGTCTGCATCTTAATTCTTATGAAATTGGCAATGTTTGTTATTCTCTCAAAGGTTTTGTGACAATCAGCTAAAAAATTAAATACATTATCCTCAAGACACATTTTTAAAAGCTATTTATTTAACTATATATGAAGACATAACCATCAAGAATCATGAATAAATAACACTCTAGTAAAATTAAATGGTGATTTTTCACTCCTGGCTTCAATTTAAGCAGTTTGGCCCACTTTTGACAATATTTCACTATGCATGACACAATGGGCAAATTAAAGTAAATCCTTTGTCTTTAGGCCAGATAACTCAAAAACAAATAAAAATATACTGTCTTCCCTGAATATCAATGTTTAATAAAAGATTTGATTTGACTGGACTAGTTTCCAAGGGATTACTGAAGGGGGTGGATTCCTCTTCATGTATTATGTAATGAATTGGAAATCATAGTTCCCTTTCGTAGTCACTCCGAGTTACATCAGATGACGGAGAATGGGGGTTTCGGTTTCGCCTAGAAAGCCAATCCTCTTCGAGTATTAAAAAATGAGCCAATGGCAAAGAAATGCCATGGGTCTGCGGAATTTGCATAGCGTATCCCCACCTCACCTTGTGAGTATAAAAGGAGGAAGCGGACGCAACCGCAGTATGTTTTCGCTTCGGAGCCTTCTTCACTCCACAAGCCACACAATCTGAGTTTACTGACTCACCTCTTCGAAACGAGCGAACTCTCTGGTATTGGTGTGACGGCGGTATCCAGTGAGTTTCACATTGCCTGCGATCTGAGCAGTGGTCTTCCAGTGTGTGTTTCTCCCTGGTCGCTTCAACATTCGCAATTTTTTCCTCTCACTAAAAGAGCACTCACGCGGCACGTCTTTTTAAAGACGATCCGCCCGTGTACTTTTGAGTGCGGTATTCTGATAGATTCAGCTGATGGGCGCGAATTTGACGTGTTTGGGCTTTGATCGCGCTCAGACAGCGCTCATGGGTGTGTCACCTTCTCTCAGTGGGAACGTGACCATCGCAATGTATAACGGTCGAGACTCAATGAGCTCAATAGAGCGAGAGTCCCCTCATCCACAACCTGAACTATTTTTCTCCACACGAGATAATACTTCGGCTGGTGGCCAGGGTGACCTAAGACGTCAGGTCTGAAACTAAACCAACGAAAACCCCTTTCACGTTGCAACCCATGTAAAAAAAAACAAAAAAAACAGCTGATGAAATCATGTCTATCGCTGCATCACAAGGTGAGCTGGAGTCCTCTGGAGATGGCTCGTCTGTGCTGCTAGCATAGCGAGTTTGATTCAGTTCACAGCTATGCTTTCCCGGGCTGCCACGAGTATCGGATTGTGTGGAAAATTCTGCCATGTCCCGAGCACTTAAAGCTGATGTTTGGTTTTTGGGGGTGGCGAACCCATATCCTTTCTACCCGAATGTGCATGAAGATGCCATGAGATCGTGAAAGTCTCCTTTGACTTTTCACGACCGCTCAGCGGCCTCTTCCGCCTTCTCTGCCCCCGTAGAGGCCGCAGTTTAGGGTACACTGGGGTTCCCCCCTGTGGAGTGTTCTGTGGCAACACTTATGTGGCCCTACAGCGCCTCCACCTGGCGTGGCAACCCTAAACGCCCCTCCAATGCCTGTAGGTTCTTGTCTACTCCGGTGGCGGGGACCTATAGAGCTGTGGGACAGGCTGCCACCTCACTGTGTGTTATTGCCATCCTTCTGGGTGTTCAATGACATGCACGAAGGTAGGGCTGATTCAGGGCTCATCCTTGAGCTGCCTGCCGTCACCGGCCTAGCTCTGCGAGCGACGAAGGTGACCACATGCTCCCTGAGTCAGGTGATGTCCACATGCGTGGTCAGACATTTCTGGCTTAACCTGGTTGATGTGCGCGAGGCTGAGTGAACCAGTTTCCTCAACTTCCCCATATCCCAGGTTGGCCTCTTCGGCGGCGCGGTCAAGAACTCGCCCGCCCAGACTCGCACGGTCTCCTCCCCGTTTCAGGGGAGTCCGCTTTACGTTGGTCGGTGGCTATGCCGCTTTACATTGGTTTGTGCTATTTACATTCCAGGAGAGCGAAGCTTTGCAGCCGGCGAGCGGTCACGGCTCCGTCCAGTCTCTGGTGAATGGCAACTCCATCCCCAGTCGGTCCAGCTGACATGGGACCAGTTCAGGGACGCACAGACAGATCTGTTTGCCCCCCACGACTCATCCTATTGTGCCCTGTATTACTCTCTGAACGGGGGCACGCTCGGCCCAGACGCACTGGTGCATAGCTGGCCACGGGGCCTACGCAAGTATGCGTTTCCCCCTGTGAGCCTCCTCGCACGGATTCTGTGCAAGATCAAGGAGGATGAGGAGCAGGACATTTTGGTCACTCCATATTGGCCACCAAGACCTGGTTCTCCGAACTGATACTCCTCGCGACAGCACCTCCTTGCCCAATTCCTCTGAGGAAAGACCTCCTTTCTCAGAGACAGGGCACCCTACGGCACCCTCGTCCTGATCTCTGGAGACTCCACATGTGGCTCCTGGACAGGACGAGGCAGGTTGAGTACCCTGCCACCTGTGGTGGCGGCTACAATCACTTCCGCTAGAACGTTGTCCACGAGACACGTCTATGCATTGAAATGGAACCTCTTTGTCAACTGGTGCTCTCTTCTCGCCGAGAAGACCCCCGGAGATGCTCGATCAGTGTCGTGCTTTCCTTCCTGCAAGACGGGTTGGAGCGAAGGCTGTCTTCCTCCACCCTGAAGGTGTATGTGGCTGCCATTGCCGCATATCACAAAGCAGTTGAAGGTAAATCCCTGGGGAACCACAACCTGATCGTCAGGTTCCTGAGAGGAGCGAGGAGACTAAATCCTCCTCGCCCTCCTCTCGTACCC